GACAACAATAAAAGCTTTTAGAATTTCTTAAAGGTGCCTCCTAAGTCGTGTGGCCCCAAATAACTAAACACTTGCTTCATATTTGGGGTTGTGCTCAATGTTTTGCATACCAGCCTTTTTCCCCTCTCGAATTTGAGGCTGGTTTTTGTTTTCTTTAACTCTTGGGAGGCCGTGTGAAGTTGACCCCCAGCCTCCAGCAGCAGTGGGCTGGGAGGGGCCCAAGGGGAATGTTTTGCCAGCAGCCTTAAAGCAAAAGGGGCTTGGATTGGGGAATAACCACCATCATGGTTAAGTCCTGAGCAAGGAGAGCAGACTGGGGACTGGGACAGTCAATGTCCTTGTGGAACTCTCTCCTTGGCCTTTTGGGAGTGGGGCTTTTTTCCTGCCTAGGAGAGGAGCAATTTGCTTTGTTTCCAGTCAGCTGCCAGTCACTTTTGGAAGCATAAGGACTCAGCTCTGCTTTGTGTTGCCTCTGGAGGAGTGATACAGGGACCCACCTTTATCTCCAGCTCCCCATCCACACACAGACTCCAGGGAGGAGAAAAACTTTCTCTTCATTCCTGCCGGCTCTGCCAAGCTGTTGTGGCTTGGGAGGAATGAGCTGACTCTCCTTGCACGTGCCTCATCAGCTGAATTGTTTTATAGAGCTTCACTGATTCCTGTCCAGCCAAACCCACTGTTTGCCACAGAGCATCCATTACAGCATTGCTTGACCTGTGAAATCGTTGCTGCCAGGAGCTATGTGTGAAGAAAAAGAGATCTGAAAGGGTTCTGAGACTGCAAACCCATTCTTGTCTTCTGCAAGGCTTTTTTACCCCCTTAAAATGAAGAGTGGTGGGATGTGAGTGCCTGACAATCAATCTCTTTATATCAAGTGATGGTAGGTAGTATTTGCTGTGCCTCTGGGGGCCTGTCTCTGCTTAACTTACCCCTTCCCTTCCCCTGCTGCAGTTAAAACCAGCAGCTGTGATAACAGCAGCTCTGAGATCGTTGTTGATCCAAGAAATATCGACTGTGGGATGCCCTTGTAGGGCTCTCTGCAAAGAGAAGTCAAGTGATCAGCATATTTCCCAAGAAACAGGCATTTATTTGTTCATGTCACTCCTTGGTTTTTGTGGGGGTTAGCACATAGCTCTGGCTGTTCAGAATTGCTTCCTGCTCACGGATGGTATGGGAAGAGGGAGGGGAACGATGCCCTGTAACGTAGGGTTCAGTACAGGAGACGTGACTGCCTTGAGGAAGAGTTGAAAAAAAACAGATTGCTTTTGGGATGTCTCAGGCTCTCCGATGTGTGAGAACATCCAGACACCCAAGTCTAGCAGCACATCTGGTGCAAACTGGCTGATCTCTGCAGGAGTCTCTGGAGCTGCAGTTTTACCCGTGCTCATCTTGTCCATGGATCCTGAAGCTGGGAGCAAGGAGAGGTGCTTGCCAAGCAGTTACTCCTTTAGTGTGCTTCTAAGAGGTCAGGAGCTGAGACACTGCCACTTGTCTGTGGTTGCCAAGGCATCTGTGAGTGACTCCTGAGAAGCTGCTTCAGTCCAGCAGGTTGTTGAGGTGCAGTGCTGGGAAGAGTTGTGCTGAGCTCTGCTCATCTGAGGGCAAATGAGGGATGTGCTTGTGAAGAAGGCAGTGAGGCAGGGTGATGAGGTGCCTTTCCACTTGGGCTGAAGCACCTGAGCAGCGCTGCTGGCTGCCTCTGGAAGAGGAGTCATGTGGCAGGAGGAATAAATCCGTGCTTGCAGCATTCCCATGGCTCGTTGGTGCACATGGGGGCTCTGGGGTGGAGCCATGTCAGCCTTCCACTGCTCTTCAGCCCGAGGTGCCCAGCTCCCAGTGGGGTGACTCAGCTGGGATCAAACCCAGCCCCTGATTGCTTGGGAGCTTGTCATGGCAGTTCACAGCTGGAGAGGCAGGGCCATCTGACTTGGCATCCCCTTGCTGTGACAACACTTCTGCTCTGCCAGACCAAAAGCATGAATCACTTGCCTGCTCTGCTTCTGATAGCCTGAGCAATCAGGCTTGTTGCTCTCCAGCAGAGGCTTCCTTTCCTTGTGGGTGAAGCTATCCTGGTGAAGGGGTGAAAGCAAGAGCAGAGGCCTGGCTGCAGTGGGAAGTGGTTGTGTCAGCTTTCCAAGGGCATCTTGCATGCTGCAGAGCTGGCTTTGTTTGTGTGTGGAGGAGAGGTTTAGAAATGTAGTTCTTCTGGCTCTCCTGCCTCCTCCAGAATGTGTATCTGTGGGCCTCGTGCAGAACTGCAGCTATTTTCTGTGTCTGCTCTGCTCAGGGAGATGTGCTGCATCCTGGGAACACTGAGGGAGGTGGATGCTGGGGTTTGTGTTTCATCTCTGCCTGTGCCTCAGGCCTCAGATCTTTTCACGAGGGTTTTGATGTTTTGAGCAGATATCAGGCTACTCTTGTCTCCTGTTGTGCAGCACAGCCTGTGAAAAATACTTGGCATTGCAAAGTGCAGAAATAGTTTTTGTTTATTCCATTGTTGATGTTTGCCACTTGCAGGGGAAAAAAAAAAAGCAAGGGGAGGAGAATAAACCAACCATTGTTGATGTTTGCCCCTTGCAGGGGAAAAAAAAAAAAAAAGCAAGGGGAGGGGAATAAACCAGAGAAGGTCTGCAACGAAAATAACTGACACAGATGCAGGAGATGAGTCTAACTCCTGTTCCTGCTGAGCAACTGATGATGAGGCAGTACTTGCTTTCCCAAAATATAGCAGGGAAAGAGATACTGGTGCTGTGCTGAGGGATGTTCAACACCCACCACTTTGTGTGAAGCCTGTGAGTCATGGGCACTTTCTGCTTTCTGGGATCTGCTCTGAGCTCCCTTCACTTGGTCATAAACCCAAGCCCACCAGTTTTTTTTAGAAATAGTAATGTTACAAATATTTAATTTAACCCATTCATGTAATACATCAGTCCCAGGGCCTTTTCCAGGGAAATCACAGGGTGATGGTCTTTCTGGGTGGTTTCCTGAGTGAAGGAGGCAGCATCTCTTAATCACATTAAGCTTCTGTGGTGTGGTGATGGTATCTCCCTGCACACAAAGGGATGGAGGTGAACACACTGGTAAATTGGCATTTAGCTATGGACAAGCCTGGTTTAGATGCTGACAGAAGGCTCAGGTGTCTAGCACAGGTGCCAGGCTCTGTGTGCCAGCATGGCAGAGAGGAGCCCTTTGCCCAGACTGCTGGCACAGACTGAGACATTTTCACTTGGAGATACTGCTTTTCTCAGGGAGTTTCTGTATTTCTTTAGGTCTGAGTTTATTTTCATCAACACTCAGCCCAAATGTGGCTCGTTTCTCCCTGCAGTTGGTGGCTGATCCATTGTGTTCTAAGGAGGGAAGTGGAGCTGCTCAGCAATTGTGCAGAGAGTGGGATGTCCTCCTCTGCTTTTGATTCTTAACAACCAAAGAGTTGCCTTTGTCTGGTCCAAAACCCACTTCTTTGTGGAAAGAAGCTGGTGCTTGCCAGCATCTTTGTGGGCAGCCTCAGCCTGGTTCAACTGTAATTTATTGTGGCCTTGGGGGAGTGACTGCATTGGAAGGGTTTGGGTTTGGAGAAGGGTTCCAAATTAAGGACAACAAACTTCAGGAGAAACATGCTGTGAAATAACAGCAGAGCTGCTCCAGGTGTACCAAGTTTGTGGGGCTTTTTTTGTTTGCTTGTTTTACTTGGGACCTTGGCATAACCATGCCTTGCCTGGCAAGAGGTAACTGGGCTGCCTTGCTTTTCCAAGCCCCTCTGGGGATTGCCCTACAGCTGCTGTGGGAAGGACCCAAGCACACTCTGGGGATTGTGTCAAATCTCCCTTCTGCAAGGTCTGTGCTGTTCCCTTGCCCTCCACAGAACATCTTTGGGGTGTTGGATGTTGTCAGCTTGAGCAGCTGAGGAGGAGAGCGGGTCACGAGGGATGACTGGCACCTCTGGGCTGCCTGGCCTGGCTTCTTTTCCTGCTGAGGACGTGCACAGGCAGCACCAGGGGCTCTGTAGGTCACACAGGAAACGCTGGGAATGGTGCCCTGCTTCCTCACCTTGTGTCAGATGAGGGTATTTGTAAACCAAGGCGTGGCAGAGCAGCATGCTCGTTTTATTCCCTTCCTGTGAAAAGCTGGAATGAGCTTTAGCTGGCTCTGTGCTGCTATCTGAGCTGTGTCCTGCTGTGGCCATGCTGAAGGGTTGCAGGAAAAGGGCAAGAATGTTGGCATTTCCCTTGTGGGCCTGGGAGGACAGAGCAAGTCTGAGAGCTGCTCCTTCCCTTCGGCACACTGAGGCAAGGAAAGCACCACCTTGGCTCTCGGCTCGCCTCCACAGGTGTCTGTCAGGAATAGCTTTTGGGGCTGCAGGCAGGGCCATATCACAACCTGTGTCACTCCTCAATGTGCTTCTTGAGAGAGCCAGCCTTGCTGGGAAGTCTGGGGAGTTTCCCATGCTGCTGGGGAAGTTGTGAAGTGGAAGGTTGGCTGTTTCTGCTGTGTAGCTGTGCAGTGGACACGGAGGAGGCAGCCTGTTAAACCAACTGAACAGGAACTGGTCACCTCGTGTTTCTGCTGTGTAGCTGTGCAGTGGACACGGAGGAGGCAGCCTGAGCTGCTTCACCAACTGAACAGGAACTGGTCACCTCACAGCTCTGCCTGAGTTTCACTCTTTTCCAGATGTCTGCCAAAACAATCCTGGGGTAACTCTATGGATGTGGGATGCTGGGGCCTCAGAAACAGCATTTGGGTGTTGCAGTTTGGTAAAGAATCATGGTTTATTGGTGACAGGCCAGTGTGGTGGCGTTTGCCTGCCTTGGGGTTGGGGACATTTTAGCTCCTGAGCCCCACAGCGATGGATAGAAGGAAAAGGAGAATGTGTTTGGGAGAGACACCCAAGGCACAGATCCTGCATCCTGAAATCCTCTGTGTCCTTAACACACTTCTGACATGACCTCTGCCCTGCCAGGGGTGTTGCTACCCTGCTGAATGCTTTTCTCCTGATCTTACAGAACGATGACCTCAGGAACCTGTCCCTGTCCGGCCACGTGGGCTTCGACAGCCTCCCGGACCAGCTGGTCAACAAGTCAACGTCACAGGGCTTCTGCTTCAACATCCTGTGCGTGGGTAGGTCACCTGCTGGGCCCTCAGGGGGCACAGCCCCACACTCACACCTTCTCCCCCTGCCCAGGGCAGGGCTGAGCCCCTCCTGACTGTGCTTGTCTTGCCCGAGCAGCTCCGTGGTGAAATGGAGTGTTCCTCTTTCCCCTTTCTCTGTCCTGTCCCCTGAGTCAGAGCATGGCAATTGCTAGCTGTTAAAATCTATCCCTTTGATCATCCAGTGGTTCTGCTTTCTCCAAAGGCTGCCTGTAAGGAAACTGAATGAACTTGGGAACTAAATGTATTTTTAAAAGGATACTGACTTAAATCTGCTTTTCTCTGGGTTGGGTGTGGAGGCTGTTTCTCACCAAATTGCATTCCTTCCCTTCCAGGGTTTGCCTGTATCCTTACAACATTCTTAGTTTCTCCACTTGGAAACGGTGCCATTTTTAGTCTCCAAATGATGTACTGGAGAACAAAGCTTGTCACCTGTCCTGTGCTCTATTTAATCTGGAAGTTGGTTTAACAGTCTGAGTTACTTTTCCCGAATTGTTCAGAGGGTGAAATACGAGGAGGCAATATCTTCTCTTGGCTGTGGGGAGGTAGCTGCTGGCTTGGTACTCTGTGGATACTCTGCAGTTGGAAATCCATTGCTCAGCCCCAGGGAGCTGTGAGCCAAGCCAGCTTTGGCTTGTCAGTGAACCCAGAATCTGGTTCTGTAAAGGGACAAAACTGCTGGGTTTTTCTCTTAGCTTGGCAGTGCAGGCTGCAAACATCATCTTTCCATTCATTGTTCATTTAAGCCTCCAAGAGGGGTGTATTGTCCCTCCTAATTAGTTACGTTAATTAGCTGGAAAAAACCCCACAACCCTCTGACTGTGATTTTTCTACAGCAAATTGAGAATTTCTGTGAGCTGCTTGAAAAGAAATCTAGCAAACTCAACTCCTCTCTGTAGCTTTGTGTGTGAAAGGAGGAGATAAGAGAGTAGTTGCACTTCTGCACACTCGAGCTCCCAGCCCTCACGTGACTCTCGAAGCAGCATGAAACCATTTAAATCCAGCAGGGAACAGCCTGATTAGCAGGCAGCTCTTTGATCAAAATGGCATAAATTAATTGCCTTTCTCTCTTGAAGTAAATATGCCTTTCTTAGCGTGACTTAATATGTCTCCATTAGCAATTTGATCCACCTCTTTTTTCCTTGTGAACTGTGCCCATCCACCGATTTTTCACCCATATTAAAGTTTCACACAAACTGCTGCAGCTGGCCGAGGAACAGACATCTCAGCCTTGAAAAAAATTGCTGTTTAAAATTGTGATTTGAGGGAGGACACAATTAACTTCAGTGTTGTAATGTGAGACTCCTGACTGGGATGTAAAATGCTGCAGAGCCTATCTGGCATAGAATGCAGCAGTTCACATCAGGAGCTCCCTGAAATTTGCAGTTTCAGCCACAGGCAGTCTGTGCCATCAGTTTGGGACTTGGCTTTCCGTGTGAGTTGCCTCAGCCCACCCCTGCTCACAGCATGGGTAGCAATAGCTGCTTGAGAGTGTAATTGCTAAACAAACAGTTTTGACTGAAAAATGGGATTTAGGCTAATGCTTTCATCCATGTTACTACTTGCACTGGGGATAAGTGAAACTATAATAGTTTAAAAAGTTGATATTTAAGCAGTGTGCTTTTTTTTTTTTAAGTACTCCGTATATATTTCTGTCTCTGATTTTTATTGTCTTAAGTTGCACTATGGGTTTCAGATCATCTTCTTACAACAAAACTGCCTTAAAAAGGCTGAAACAAAATCAGGGAATCGGACTTGGAGTTGAGACAATTTACAACTTGCTACCATGAAGAAAGTTCCTGGGTCGGTCCTGGGGCAGTGGTAGAGATGGGGACTGTCTCTGAAGACATCTGTTCCCGCAGGGATTATCTTGCTTAGCGATGTGCATGTAGCCTAACTCCGCCGCTCCCCAAGTGGAATAACCCCTTAACCTGGGGAAGGTGCCAGACAAAGAGGCAGGGGAGAGCAGCAGCCCTGTCCTGACACTTCTGTCACTCCTGTCTGCTCAGGTGAAACCGGCATTGGCAAGTCGACGCTGATGGACACGCTGTTCAACACCAAGTTCGAGAGCGAGCCCGCCACGCACAACGAGCCCGGCGTCAGGTTGAAAGCGCGGAGCTACGAGCTCCAGGAGAGCAACGTGCGGCTGAAGCTGACCATCGTGGACACGGTGGGGTTTGGAGATCAGATCAACAAGGATGACAGGTAATCTGAGCTTTGCCAGGAGAGAGAGCCCCATACTGGTGCCCTCTAAGGTGGGCAGAAGATTCCGGGGGTGTTTCCCAGTCCTGGATGCTGCTCCTTGCCTAACCCTGTGGAGAGAAGGGCAGGCACAGAGCAGCAGGGCTTAGGGGGAGAGCTTTTCTTCTCCTGCTGTGTTGTGTCCTGGCACATATGGCTGTGGTGGGTGCAGTTAGCTCTCTCCTCCAGTTTGAGGCTTCACAGTTGTCCTTTGCTCCACTTTTTTTATGGGGCTTGCTCTAATATTTCACCCAGTGTGGGGCCTTACTGCTTTCCTTGCACATGTCTCTGAGGTTTTCAGTGTCTCGTGGTTGGAGACAGTTTCCATAAGCCAAGAAACCAGAGCAGCAGTCATTTTATAGACACACCTAGTGATGTCCATGAAGCTGCCCTTGGTGGAGGGGGAACACATGGAGCAGCTTTCTTTGCAGAAGCACAAACAGTTAATTTGAACAAGGACATGTCATATTACGTGAGCTGCTTTCTCTCCATTAAAATGGTCCTATCAAAGTCTATGAATGATGCAGTTGTGACTCCCCATCTTTTAAGATGACAAGAGTTTGGACAAGCTAGGGGGTAGGTCACGATTTAATGTTTAAATGTTTTTGTTAGATGATTTTCAGTGAGATTGGCAGAGCAGCAGCTCAGACTTGAACTGGAGAGACTGTCTAAGGTGTTGTTCTTCAGGGTAGCAGTCTTGTGTGGTTTCCATGCACCTGAAATCGAAGGCTGTCATGTCTGTTGTGCTTTGCCTGTGCACCAAGTGGGAAGGCACCCTTGTGAAGAGGGACTGTAGCTTGGTGGGGAGGGTCCTGAAAGCACTGCTTGTCCTGTGCCATACAGAGCTCCTGAGTGTCCATCAGTGGCCCGTGTGGTCGCAGCAGCCAATTCCCTGCTTTTCTCTGTGCCCTGTCTCCCCAGCTACAAGCCCATCGTGGAATACATCGACGCACAGTTCGAAGCCTACCTGCAGGAAGAGCTGAAGATCAAGCGCTCCCTGTTCAACTACCACGACACGCGGATCCACGCCTGCCTCTACTTCATCGCTCCCACCGGACACTCGCTCAAGTCCCTGGACTTGGTCACCATGAAGAAGCTCGACAGTAAGGTACTGGCTGCCTGGGTCACCACGGCCCTGTAGTGCTTTCATTATCTTGCCATCTGCTCAGGAAAATCATGTCTGGGTTTAGTGGTGGAGAGCTGTGAACAGGAAGTGTGAGAAGGGTACCTGGGGCAAGCTGCTGCAATGGCTCATTATTCTGCTTCACATGCTGCAGAGATTTATGGAGAGTTTGGGCTCCTGCTGTTTTCCAGCTTTACCTCAGGTGGGGAGCTTGGCCATGTGCTCCCCAGCTCATCTTGAAAGTCAGTAAAGACACTGCATGTCATCTTTCTAAATAGTAAAAAACAAATGGAGGTGCTGTGTCTGCTTGCTCTGACCTCATCCAGCTAGACAAAAGCAGTGATTTGATCTGCTATGGTGAATGTAGTGGTGCTCTAGCTGTAATGTCATAAACAAGAATCTGAATAAATATGTTAATTGGCATCTGCTCTTCCAGGTACCCTCATGGGCTTGGTTTAAACCATAGTTCAAAGGAGATTGCCTCTCTTCTAGGAAAAATAACTGAGGTACAAATGTAGAGACTGACTAGCTAAACTGAGCCTTCTCTGTGCTCCTTTCCATCATGATTAAGCAATTTAAGTCAGTCCACTGTGCACCTTTTGGCTCATTGGATCCTGATTCTGCAGGATATCTATGATGACAGTGGCTCTTTGTTTCCTAGAGAGGCCAGTTGATTGGGTTTTATGTGGTGATGGAAAAAGTTCCTTGCCTTCCTCAACTGAAAATAAGGTTATGGAGATTTATCCCAAGCGAGCTAATTGACATTCCTGTTTTATCTTTTGGCCAAGAGGGATTTAATAGCTCCAAACAGAATTAAGTGATGTAATAGAAGAGGATTTTCAAGTACTGTAGTTAAAATCCCTCCATATAGGTCGATATTACTGTTATCCTCAGTACAGGTTCTGTCTGCTGTTACAGGAAAAACAAACCTGCAAGATCAAAAGCAAAAACTGTACCTCTGAAGGGAGGAGACAGGGAAAGAAGGCAGGATCTTTATCCTTGCCAACAGCCTGTCTAGAGAAGAGAGTAACTCATCTTTCAGAGCTGTGCAGGGAGGAGTGAGCCCTGGTCCTGCAGTGCAGCAGTGTCTGGGGGCACATGAGGGCACACAGCTGGGGGAAGTGTGCCTGTGTTACTGCCAGCCCCTGTCCTGTGTGTCCCTGGCTGATAGGCACCATCTGCTTCCACCTCCCGTGGGGTGACAGCAGCTCTGCTGCCCCTCCAGTGTCCCTGGTGACACTCCCCAGGCCGGGGTCTGTGACAGGCTGTTTTATCAGCGTGGCTCCTGCAGAAATCCAGCCAGCTGCGGCACCAGGGGATGTGCAGAGAGGGTGGCTTCCTTTCTTATTTTTTTTTTTGGAGCAGCTCATAATAATCTATGATAACATTTCCTGTCCAGCCGATTCGGATGAGGAGGGGTGCATGACAGGACAGGAAATAGCATGTTGCCAAATTGCATTTGACTTCTTTCTAAGGCCATCATCACTGCTGCCTGGAAATCCTGCCTGAGGTGGTGCTGCTGGCAGCAGCCCCAGGGAAGTTCATCTGCTGGGGGTGCTGGCTGGTGGCACTTCAGGGCTGTCACTGCATGTCCTGCTCTGTCCTCTCCCAGAGACACAACCTGTGCTTTCCTGTATGCTGAGGTGCTGCCCTGTCTTGCAGGTGAACATCATCCCCATCATTGCCAAGGCTGACACCATTGCCAAGAATGAGCTGCACAAGTTCAAGAGCAAAATCATGAGCGAGCTGGTCAGCAACGGCGTCCAGATCTACCAGTTCCCGACCGATGAGGAGACGGTGGCCGAGATCAACGCCACCATGAGTGTATGTTACCTGGGGGGCTGGCTGCTCTTGCCTTGCCTGGGCCTGTCCTTGGTGGCCTTGCTGGGTCTTGCTTGGCTTTAAAACTGCAATTTGAGCATGGACATCAGCCTGGCCAGAAGGCTTTTGGGGGCTGGCGATACCTGGTCTGATAGGTTCCCCTGTGTGACAAACGCTTCTCCCCCGTCGCAGTTCTCACATCCTTCCCCTGTTGCAGAATTCCCGTCAGGAAAGGAAGAGGATGGGAGGCCGGGCCCCAGCGTGGTCAGGGCAGGGAGCTGAGGTTTGGCTTTCCTGTCCCAAACGACCACTTGCTGCTTCGTGGGGGTGATTCATTTGCTGCCGCCTTTGTTTGGGTTTCCGCTGGGAGCGGGGCACCGGCACTGATGTTCCAGCGCTCCGCAGCCCAGCAGTGGCTCTGGCTTTCACCTCCTCCCCTGCCTCTGGGGGTGGGAGTTGAGGGCATTCAGGGCTAGATTGGACCTAACATCTTAGTGGGGGTTACCAAGGGAAGCAGCTCTTTACCATGGGCCTGACTCGGGTGCAGAGGGGAGAATCCGAGCTCAGCGTTGCTGGCAGTGAGGTGTTGATTGGCCTCAAGAGGATGTGCCAGTCCTAAAGCAAGTGCAGTCAGATTAAGCTATTTCCTTGCTCCTTGAAGGCTGTTGTGAGTTCTGCTGCTCGAGGGCTTGTAGATGGGCAATCATCTCATCCAGCTGAACGTTAGACCCTCTGCAAAGCTCCCTATTGCCTCTCTTGCTGATTTGAGCAGGGAGAAGCTGGCTTAGGGAAGTCATGGGCTGGCTTAGGGCACTACCAGGGTGCTTTGTGTGCAGTGCTCTGCCTTCCTCAGGTGCAGCCTGGCTGCTGGGAGACCCGTTGGCCAGATAATCCCATGTCCTCTGCCCTGACATCGTCCCCTCCCACCCACCCTGTGACCACAGCGTGGCTGACACAGCTCCCGCTCCCAGAGCTTGCACTCAGCCCCTTTGGATGCTGTCAAGGCAGGGAGAGTTCTGCTGGGCTGGGCTGGCAGCTGAGGCCAGCTCCCTCCTGGCAGCAGCCACACTTCTGGGAGTAGATCCCAGATTGTCGCCACCACACCCACGGAGAGACCTGGACGGAGCAGAGCTCCATGACTCAGACGTGTCAGCCCAGGGCTGGGTCAGCTCCGCTCTTCCTCTTGCTCACAGCTTTGCCCTGTGTAAGAGGAAGCATTAGCAGTTGTTTGTAGCAGCAAAATCCCCCTGAATTTTGCCTTCCTTGAGAGGATGTAGTGTGTTTTCCTTTTTATTGTTTCACGGTTCTTTTTTCTTGGTGTTCAAATTCAGTTCCAGTTTATAAGACTTGGTCTGTGCTTAAGACAGTAGTGCATTGTAAGGAAATGGAAAGTAATGTACATATCTTGTATTTTTAGGACTTCAGAATTCTGGGCTGTAAGTCTGATCAGGTTTCTCATCCAGATTGTCCTGTTGTTCTTCCTGAAACACCAGACGAATTGCAAAGGAGTTTAAACAACTTAAATTTAGCAGAGCTGCCCCAGTAAACAGCTTTCTTGAGGAACAATTTCTGGCAAGGCAGCAAAGGAAATCCCCAGCCTCATTGTCCCTTTCCTTTTGTAGGTCCACCTCCCTTTTGCCGTGGTTGGCAGCACTGAGGAAGTGAAGATTGGCAACAAGATGGCAAAAGCCAGGCAGTACCCCTGGGGTGTCGTGCAGGGTACGTTACCAAGGGCACAAGCCAGGCCTTCTCATCCTATCCCCTTCTGATCCAAGAATAACCAGTTCTGTTACTTCCATCTCAGGATGGCCCTTGCCAAAATGTGGCTTGAGAGAGCACAGCTTATGCCCGAACATGGGTATCTGGACGTGCAGCCAAAAGCTCCGTCCTGCAGGAGGGCAGAGTTTGGCCAGGGCACTGTTTGCAGCCCAGGCTTTACTGAAGCTGCCAAAAATCCAGAGCTGATCCTTGCTTTCCAGCCAGCACTGAGAAGTACAGGGTTGAGATGGTGATGGTCTCCTTGTGGCTTCAGTTGTGTATCCCATTGGAGAAGGGCCCAGGAAGCTGCAGGGGAGCATTCACAGTGCAGTTCTGCATGACTCTCTGGTTTCTCAGTAATACCAGCTGACCCTGAAGCAGCTTCAGAGACTTCAGCTGTTCTCACCAGAGGATGGTACTGGGAAAAACAGTTAGGAAAGAAGTTCAAGTGTTTGGGAAGTCTTGGACTTAGACCTGTATCCTTCTGGGTTCTTGCTGTTCCCAGAAAACTAGGACCAGATAGTTGGAGATCCAGTTTAGGCTTTGCCTGTGCGAGCCCCTGTGAGTGCTAGGATTTCGAGTTGGTTTGCGTGGGAAGTGAAATCCTGTGAGCAAACGGATCATCACCTTGCTGGTGCAGAAATGGATGGGGAGGTGGGAGCCCTGTGGCAGATGGGCGTTGCACAGATTTTGCAAACCCAGTGCAAGCCTTGAACTCGGGCCTGTGTGGCGTGGGATGGCTTCAGCCCCAGTTCAGCGAGGTGTTTTGGTACAGGCTGGCATGGAGCTGTGCCTGAGGAGCTCTGAGGTTTGCTACACTGGGGCCCAGATCCCGGGTTTCACGTTCTCTCTGTGGACATTGTCATTTTTGCAGTTGAAAATGAAAACCACTGCGACTTCGTGAAGCTGCGGGAGATGCTGATCCGAGTGAACATGGAGGACTTGCGGGAGCAGACGCACACCCGGCACTACGAGCTGTACAGGCGCTGCAAGCTGGAAGAGATGGGCTTCAAGGACACGGATCCCGACAGCAAACCTTTCAGGTAGGGATGTGCAACCCAGGGGCTGCTGTGCTCTGCAGCCTGCTTGCTCTGCTGCTGTACAGGGCTGCCTGAAATTCCAGGCAGGAGCAGTGCAGCCGTGTCCGTGTGACAGGAGGGTGGCCCATGCATTGGGGACATCCTGGGGTAAATGATCTTTTGACCCTCCTGGAGCTCTTCGCAGCTGGTCCAAGGTGAGCTGTGAAGAGGGTGCCACGGTCTCATGCCTGAGGTTTGGCTGATTACTGAGCACATAGTTCATTCTGTCAGACAGCTTTATTGGTCTGCAGCCCAAGCCATTAGCCAGGGACAGCAGCTGTGTGGGAATTTGGGAGGGGGTGTTTGTTTTCTCCCTTCATTTCCTGTTTCCCATTCCTCCCCAGCTTTTCCCTGGTAATTGCCCCCCCCCTGTGCCTCACAGCATCCCAGGTTCCTCTCTGCCTCCCGGGGAAGGCAGTCAGAATTCCAGTGCACCAGTGGGGGTTTGCCCCTGTAACGTGTGTGTCAGGGGCTGGCATTGGTTTGGGGTCTTGTTTCTGACTTGCTGAGTTGGTGCAGCTGTGCTTCTTCTGCAGCAGAAACTCGGCTGGAATCAGTCAAGCCCAGTTCTGTTACTAAGCCCAAGTGTGAAGCTTTATTGGATTTCCTTTCTGGAGAGCAATGGCTTAAGATGGGCTCAGCCCTTCCTTTGGAGGAATCTGAGGAATTTCCATTGCTTCCTGTACACGAGGCCTCTTTTGACCAAGCTATAAGTAGAAAGGAAATGAAAATGTACAGAATTTCTCCATCTGGTACGTGCTAGTTCAGGGGTCTTGTTTCTGACTTGCTGAGTTGATGCAGCTGCGCTTCTGCAGCAGAAACTCGGCTGGAATCAGTCAAGCCCAGTTCTGTTACTAAGCCCAAGTGTGAAGCTTTATTGGATTTCCTTTCTGGAGAGCAATGGCTTAAGATGGGCTCAGCCCTTCCTTTGGAGGAATCTGAGGAATTTCCATTGCTTCCTGTACACGAGGCCTCTTTTGACCAAGCTATAAGTAGAAAGGAAATGAAAATGTACAGAATTTCTCCATCTGGTACGTGCTAGTTCAGAGCAGTTCACTCTGGGTGCCTTTTCCCTCCAATAAACAAACAAAACCTATGATCCCAAGCTGTTTGGCCGAGGCTGATGAGTATCTGAAACGAGGGGGACATTCTCTCTGAGCTCAGGGATCAAAAGGATGCTTTTCCCTGCATCTTGGCCCCAGGAGCCACAGGAACTGCTGCTTTTCAGCCAGCTTGCATCAGCCAGGAGCAGGGAGCCTTTGGCAAATCTCAGGGAGAGCAGGGCAGGAGGTCCCAGCAAGCCATTGGTGCTGTGTAGGGGCTTCTGTGAGGTGTGGGGAAGGGGCACTGGTGATGTCTGAGACCCCCACCTTGCTTGGCCAGCCTGCAGGAGGTCGGGAGGGAGCACCAAGATCCCAACATGCATCAGCTCCGTGAAGTGGGGACTCTGTGCACAGAGACCCCTCTGCTGTCCTCTGTCTGTTGTGGGCTGGATTCTTTGCTGCTGTGGTTGAGCTTTTCAAAATACCTCTTTTTCAAATAATGTTATTTGCCAGGGTGTGGGGGTGTGTTGGGAAAGCAAGTTACTCTCGTAGTTTAGGTTCATATGTTTGTGTACTTAAAAGCCAATTCCCTTGTCATCTTTGCCTGTGAGAAGCTGCAGGGATCCCAGTTGGTTTGGACTGTTATTCCTTAGGGCTGTAATTGTTTTTTTCACATGCAGCCTGGGAGTTGCCAGGCCAGTTTCTCTGAGAACTTGGCTCCTCTGGAAGTCAGAGTCACTGTGGCAGAGAATGAAGGTTAGAACTTGGGACAATTTAACAGGAAGCCCCTGCCCCTCTCACTCCTGCCAGGGTTTTCCTGCTTGCCCATCACCTGGCGTAGTGTTTTTGGAAGTGAGCTTTGGAAGAAGTGGTTTTCAGTCCAGGATGCTCAGAGCTTTGGCTCTGAGGCTCTGCTGCTCCCTAGGACAGCGTGGCACTAATGGCACATTCAGTTTGTGCTCACTGAGCAGCAAAGGCTCACCTGCCCTCGGGCTTTGCCACATCCTTCACAAGGGCTTGGGAATTTAAGCTTCAGTGTCCACAGCCAGAGCATCAAATCCAACACTGTATTTTAGGGAGATGTTGTTTTGAGTCTCCTGAAGTCTGTATGCTGTGAGGGGTCTGGTTCTGCATGTAGCTCAAAATCCAAAGATAGCTCTTGCCCTGCTCTCCCACGAAAGGATTTTTGTTGTTTTTAGAATCAGTATTTTTGCTTCCATGTGTAGGAAGCTGGTGTGGTCATGTGGAATGGTGTGATTTCTCTGGGGCGGCCGGTGCTGTGCCAGAACAGCTCTGGGCATCCTGTCTGGTGGGTATTTTAGGAAGTAACTGAAGTGCCTATTAATTAGCAGAGTTAAACACAAGGCTTGGGATAATTTGACAAGTTGTGTTCCCCAGCTCAATATTTCATCCCCTAAAAAAACCTCCAACCAGTAAAAAAGCCATCAAAGCCCCCAGCACTGTGAGGAAAAGTAAAAGCTTGACTTTATTGGAATTAAAATGTTCCACTGGCCCAACAGTTAATGTGTTCTTTAGGCACATGGATGCAACGTGTCTGTGGGACTCCAGTGGAGTTTTCATGTAAAAAATGCTTTTTCAGAAAAGCCTCTTGGGGGAAATAGTTATCATTCCCACACTATCATTATGGCTGGGCTATCCAAATCCATTTAAGGAATAAAACAAAAGAGGAATTTGGCGTCCAGAGTTCCTAAGAGGCTTTAAAAATCTCAGAGGTACACGGACAACGTGTTTTATGTCCCAAATCTTCACTGCCTATCTGAGTGCTGGGGAAATGAAGGAATGCCAAGGAGTAGAGGGGGAATGAAGCAATCCAGTGATGTGGTTGTTTGGAGCAGGAAGGCTGCTGTTGTTTTGCCAAGGAGAAAGGGAGGTCTCCCAGGATGGCTTTATCTGAATCAAGCCCCTGATGTGACTGTGAGCCATGAGTAGTGAAAATGAGTTCTGCTCAGTGTCAGTGTCATGCCTAATGAGCTACACGGGGGCAGGTTTCACCCGGGTCTGCTACACAGCCCTTGCCTTTGGAACGCAGAGACTTGGCACCCACAGAGGGAGAAGGGAGGCACTGTGGCTCCGATGGATCACCAGCCCCGTGGGCATCGGGGATTGCTGCAGGCTCTCATGTAGAGGCTGCTTCTCTTCCAGGACTGCCTGCTGAGCAGGGAGCTCGGCTCCTTTCCATTCGCCTCCCGCTGCTGCCACCTAGCAAGCTGGGATGGCTTTCACGGAGGTGATGCTGCCTCTGCTGGAGCTCTGACCGTGTTTTGTGACAGGACATCCTCAGTGCTGCGGTCTCCAAAGGTTGGGAGCTCCTGGCTGTGCTTGAAACACTGCTCTGACTGGGTTTTGTGTGCTCTTAACAGTCTCCAGGAGACGTACGAAGCGAAGAGGAATGAATTCCTGGGCGAGCTCCAGAAGAAGGAGGACGAAATGAGGCAGATGTTTGTCATGCGAGTGAAGGAGAAGGAAGCGGAGTTGAAGGAAGCAGAGAAGGATGTGAGTATATTGTGATGGTGAGGGCTTGGGGCAGGGCTGGTACAGGAAATGTCCTGCTGGGGCAGGGAGCTGCTCTTCTCTTGGAGCATGTGCTGCTGCAGGGGTGCAGACAAGAGTACAGCCCTCAGTGCCCATGTTCCCTTGCTCTGCATGAGCCTCATAGAGTCCACTAAGCACTGAGGGATGGAATATGGGGCGTGTGGAAGTATCCAGAGGCCTGCTGAGTTCCTACAGCAATGGGAATTCCAGCTCTGTGTGCCAGTGAGTGTTACCTGCAGGGCTTTTCTCACGAGTCAGGCGGGCTGGGGACAGGCTGATGGCATGCAGGGAGGCCTCGGTGCCAGCAGGAACACCTGGGGCATCAGTAAATTGCCAGTAAATCAGGGTGGAACATTCCTTCCTCTCTTCCCAGCCAATTCTCACTGTCTCTGTCCCGGCAGCTTCACGAAAAGTTTGACCATCTAAAGAGGACTCACCAAGAAGAGAAGAAAAAGGTGGAAGACAAAAAGAAGGAACTTGAGGAAGAGCTGAACAACTTTCAAAAGAAGAAGGCAGCAGCACAGCTATTACAGTCACAGGCTCAGCAGGCAGGTTCTCAACAAACCAAGAAAGACAAGGACAAGAAAAAGTAAGCGGATGTCACCCACACCCTTTGTAGGGTTTGTTGCAAGTTTGGGAGGTTGTTTTTTTTCTTTCTTGCTGCATGTCTGTATTTGCTTTTCCCCATTACCAGACTGGAAACAGGCCTTTTCTCAGCCTGATTAAATAAAATATTTTTTTTTTCTAAAGGGTGGGCCAGGGACATGATATTAATTTTTCTCTAGAAGAGTACCTTCAAATTTTATCTTCGAGTCTGACTGGTGTGGGAGAGCAATTGGATGGTGGAGTTTTGATTTGTGATCTGTTCAGCATCTTCTGGAACTATGGGATGTTCTGGACTCAGATTTATCTGCCTGAGCCAGAAGTATTAAGGGAGTTGCTGCCCATCCTTTCTTTCACCGGTAGGCTCCAGTTCCCATTCCTTAAGGTTATAGCTGTAAGTAGAAGTAAATTAGAAACCAAAACCACCATGTTATTTTTACATGGGGAATGCTAGTGCCAAAAGTGATGACTTGGAAGCTTGCTTTAAAGACAAGAAGCTTGGGTTTTGTATTTTTTTAGAAAAACAAACTACTACGGTACCATAATTGCAGTTAAATGGCGTTTGTGGTTGTATCAAGTTGACATAATAAGCTAAGAAACCCTTACCTTTTAGTCCAGATCATGGCACTGTTTTTTACTATTTTGTATTCGTGTCCTAGGAGCGTGATCCTTTGCCCTCCCCTGGCTTTTTCCATTCCTAGTGAGACGGTGCTCATGCAAGTCCTTAGTGAGTCACCTGTGCTAAGGGTGCTTAGTTGGTACCTGCCTTTGGGCAAGCTGGGGATGCAGCAAATCTCACTGGAAAACACTTGGTTAACCCACACACAAAAATGACAGTTCCACGCTGCTTTCGCTGCCCGCGAGAGAAGGGAGCGTTCCTTAGAGTAACACGGGTGGTGTCACCCCTGGAAAAGCAGGGCTGTGCCTCACACCCTTGTGTCTGCCATGCCAGGGGAGCTGCAGCCTGGCCCCAGCTGTGTGGCAGCACTTGTGCAGCAGATGCACCGGGGTTTTGCAGCTGTCACCCTCGCTGCACGGTTCCGTGCCCGGCGTCGGTCGCTGCTGCCCGGGGCAGGTGGGGAGGGCCTGGGGCTGGTTCCTCAGCTGCTGTAAATTGATGTAGCTCCTATGGAGCCCTGCTGCTCGGTGCTGGCTGAGGACGTGGCCCTGGGCCCTGCCGGGATGCATGGAGCACTGCATGCCCTGCTCGGGGAGAAATTCCTTACGGAGCAGACCCAGGGGTGTCAGGCTGAGCACTGGAACCGGCCAGTGTTGGCAGCTAAGGCCCAGGCATGCTGAAACCCCCTTCTGCAGATAGCTGGGACACTCATCTTCTCTCACCTGAGAGCTCAGAGATGGTGATGCATTCCCTGAAAAGAATAGGAAGCTTTGAAGAGCCTTTTCCTTATCTCTCAGAGCTGGTAGCAGTCAGATTTTTTCATCTCCTAGCTGTAGGAGCAGTGCAGTACAGAACGGTCTGGGGAGTTCTGTCCCTCTGGGTGGTCAGTGTGAGCTCCTGTTCGGTTCCAGCCTCGTGAGTGGGACAGGGCTGTTCCCAGAGACTGTGACAAACACAGGTTCTGCTTTGCTGCTGCATTCACAGAAATCCAGCCTGGAGGAACATGCCCGTGTTTTAGTGTGTCCTTTGTGTCGCTCCACGCCAGGTGCCGTACCTGCTGCAGGTGTTCTCTAGTGTCAGAGTTACTAACAGAGGCTTTCAAGGGAAATGCTGATGCTCCTGCCTTGTAGCTCACCTTGGTTTTCTAAAGGCTTTCAGTTTCTCTTTGCACTCTAATGTGGAGCTGCAGTTTGTGTAGTTAAGGCTTCCAGCTCTCTCTCTGCTGCCATGGCCTGTGGTGCTTCCTGTGCAGTTGCCAGAGGAAAGCCTTGCCATGCCCGACCCTTACAGCCTCCCCACAAAGTAATTCATGGAAATGCTTTATTTTCTCAAGGTGGGATCAGATTTCTCCAGTTTGGACAACACTTTCCACTGTGCTGTGCATGCCAGAGGGAAGGCTCAGGGTGGAATCTGCTGCTCGCCTGACTCCAGGAGGGAGAGCTTGGCCTTCCTGATTTCCAGACTATTCCTCCAAAAATTCTCAAGCTTGTACTCTTTATCTAAAAAGTTTGGGGCTTTGGGGACAGCACACCCGTGTCCCTCAGGCACTGAAGGGGTGGCTGCAGAGCAGACTGTGCCACTTGCCTGGATGTGGGGCTGAGCCCCTGCTGTAGGGGACTGTGCTTCCAGCCTGCCCAGTGTGGAGAGAGCTCCTGGCAGCAGAGCCAGTGGGAGAGGCAAGCAGCCTTCTGGTGCTTGCCTGCTGCTGGCTCGATGGCCACATGCCTCAACATGTGCCGTTGTGCTGCTGCTCATCCGCAGCCCCCCAGGAGCCAGGACCATCTGTTTGGCTTCTGTCTCCATTTATTAAAAGCTGCTTCTGAAAGCCAAGTGTAAAACTTTTTTTTTTCCAGTTTCCTTTCCACTTAAGTTTCCAGACCAACGTGCCTGGTCTGACCATCAGAGGCCGTGCTGGTCACAAAGCAGTCCCTGAGCTGCAGCACCCATGTCAGGGTCTGGCCCAACACCCTGTAAAAGAGGGGTTTGGTGGTGCCTGAAGGATCTGAGCTGGCTGTGAAGGGCATGCTTGGAGACATCCTGGTGTCCAGGTGGGAGGTACCTGAGCTGCCTCCTGCAAGGATGCCCGTGGGAAGTACCCCAAGCTGGGAACACTGAGCTCTGTGGTGACAGGCTGTAACCTGGGCCAGCTGACAGGGTTGGTTGGTCAGTAGTTCTGTCCTCACAGTTTTTCTTTTTACTTTTGCTTGTCATAGGCCAGAGTAGAGCCCAGCCTTGAGGTTGAATTTCTTTGTAATTCCATGATCCATCTGCATGCCCACCCACCGGAGCGGGTTGCTGGTGTTGGCTCTCCTGGCTTTCTTTATTTTTTTTTTTTTGCATTTTGAGTTCTGTTAGTGCTAACTTTTTTGTTTTTTGTTCTGTTTTTTTAACTTGCAGTGCAAGCTTCACATAAAGCCTGTCGAGCCAAGGATGTTCCTGCATTCACCTGCTTTTGCAGTAATGTGTCTCTGCCATCTGTTTTCTTTTTATATATTTTTTTTCCATTTTTTTTAACATGAATAACTATTAACTCATCTAATAACATAGTGGGAACAAGAAGGAAGAGGGATTGGGTGCAGGACTGTGTGCAAGTGGAAGTTCAGGGGTGGGTGGAGGGACGAGTAATCATGATGACACCATGCATTTTTCTCACCAAAACCATCAGCAGTCAATTCTTTTTGGCCCCTAGTCTGAACCAAGAGTCAGCAGCTCAGGTTTTGGCTGGCTCAGGTGTCCTCAGTGCTGCTGGCTGTGCAGTGGGAACCCCAGGAATGATGAGTGTTGTAGGAATGTCCCAGCCAGCCCAGGCCATGGCTGGGGCTGGAGTTCAGCCTGAGCCACGTTCCTGCAGGAGCTTTCAGCCTTCAGCAGCCCCAGTCCCTGCCGGGGAGAGGGAGGGGGGTGTGTGTAGATAACCAAGTGTAACTGACCTTGCATGCCGTGACATTTGCATGATAATTTGTGTTAGATCCTGTTCCGTCCTGGCCTGGTTTTCCAGCCTCCCTTCCAGCTCAGCAGAGCAGCTCGGTGGCTGCCTCGGGGAAGGACCATTCCCAGCACTGCTCCTCAAACCTTTGGAGCCTCCCTTAAAATCCTGCCTGGTTTCCAACAGGCAGGGTCTTAACGAGGCTTAGCATCCCACATGGAATCAACTGCCTGGGAAAGGGGAAGATAGAACCTTCAGCATCCTCTTGGAGCTGCCAGGAGCATGTGGGATCCAGAATTCCAGGTGGAGGGAGAGAAGGTGCCTGGACACAGTCTCTGCACTGCCCCCAAGCCCTCCTGCAGCAGGAATCATGTCCCATTCAGGTATCCCTAGGGCGTGGCAAGGAGGTGCAGGATAAGCCAGGCCCTGCTCTCTGGCCACACACTGTGGAAGTGGGGCTGTTTAAAGTGTTTTTTCCATGCTTTCAGACACAGTCATTCCCTTCCTTCCCAAGGAGTGGCGAGCCGTGCTTACCCCGTGACTCCTGGATTTCTTCCTCTGCCAGTGCACAGCCAGCACTTGCTCTGCTCCCAGCTAGGCAGTCTCTTGAAAGCCTTCTTACACAAAACTCTTCCTGCCTGAGTCTCCTTCCGCAGCTCTTGGCCTGCTTCTGGATGGAATTTCTCTGGGGGAAAAAGAAAAGGCAGAATTCCCACTTCTTTTAATCACTTTTTCCTCAGGTGTTGGATTGGGAAGTGCTTGGAGGTTAGCTTATGGGCTGTCTTGCTTTTTAACCCTCACTGCTTAAACATGGCCTTGGGAAAAGGATATCTATGAACCATGTCTTGGACAGACAGCAGAAATGGATAAATAGCTGGAAATAAAGCAGTTGCCCTTTTTTTACTTTTTTACAAATTTTTAAAATTTTTTTAGATTTTAAGTTGTTTCTAAAATTATTATTTTTTTGGTGATTGTTGTTTGGGTTTGTTTTTTTTTCCCCTCCTGGAGTTGCCAACTATGCACTTTTCATCAGGTTAAATGGGTTTGCTGCAGGGTTAGTTGGAAAAACGAAATTCTGGTTCTTGTGGCTTCTGGCAAACCCAGCTTTGAAATCTTGAGTTCTGAAGGAAGAAGTTTGAGTTGTTTGCATGAGTTTTTTACAGTCACATCACATGCCCATCACCGAGTGCTCGTGGCAATATGCTTTGCTTCAGCTGCCTCTGTGCATGTCATCTTTTTAATTACCAGTGTTTTGTGCCAAGTAGAAAACTTAATTTTAACATTTATTTCTCCTGCTTCGTTTAACAGCCCTTCAAGGGATGTTTAGCAGGGGAAATCAGCTGAGTTGAGCTTTTCCTTTTTGACAGAAAGCTGTGGTCAAGTGCATTAGTGTATTTTTGGTTGAGCTTTTCTCCAGCAGAAAACCAGCTGTGTTGGAGGAACTGGGAATAAACCACAAACTTGAAGATGTCAAAGGTATTGTTTTGGTTTTTTGCCAAAGGAGATGGAAATTCCTTTACTTTTTTCCCCATCTTGACCCCCTGGGCCATGTTTAGCTTGTTCCTGCTGCTCTTGTTGCTTTTCCCTTCTCTGTGCCTTTTTTCCCAGTAGCCCCTGATGTGCATGGAGTGAATGATACACTCAGGTGTGGCTGGATGTGCTTTCACCTCTGCATGTAAGTACAGCAGGAAGAGGCTGACCCTTCCTGCCTCTCTCCTGACAGGAGAGCAGCTGTGCTTTTCTGGGAGATGCTCCAAGCCCGCTTACTTGCAAGTGGGGCGGTTAAAACTCCTCTGAAAAACTGCATGTTCCTCACAAGGTGGATTTCAGTCCTTAGGCTAATACAGGGGAGCAGGGAAGCACGCTGAAATGTGCTTTTTCTGGGATATGGTGGTGTTCCCAGGGCGTGAAGCAAACCCCCAGAATGGATAAGCAGAAACAATGCTGTGGCTGCTCTGTAGAGAGAGGGTCTGTAGGCAGTGGGAGAGGAGGAGATGGATAAAGGGCTTGTTCCCCCAGAACCTTCTGGGCATCACACAGCTCCTTCCAGAGAGGGCAGTGAGCAGGAAGGTGCCCTTGGAGCTCGTGGTTGTGAATTGCATCATCTTGAGTTGCACCTCCTGTGGCACTCGAGGAGCCACAGGGGAAAGCAGGCGCTGGCACCACCCCGGGCTCCTCTCCAGCTGGAGAGCTGCCACTGCTGTCACCCCCCTGCGTGCTCCTGACAGCTTGGAATCCCAGCAGGGAGCTGCGTGTCTCCCTGGAAGGACATCCCTGTTAAACAGGACCCTTGGTTCTGCAGGCAGCTCTCCCGTGCTGCTCCCAAGCCGTCCGAGTGCAGATGGAAATGTCTTTTTGTGTGTGACCACATCAGATGTGTCCGTGTGACTCCAGTCCCCTTCCGTGTCCCTTCTCCCAGGGCTCGGGCTGCATGTGCAGGGTGTGATACCTGTGGTGCTCTTGCCAGCGCAGAGCTCTGAAAATATGAAGGGTTTTTTTTCATTCACGGGAAACAAAGCTGTGAACAGCGGTAGAAATCTTGTATTTTTAATATCCTGATTGCCTTAAACCATAGATGTAGGACTTTATTACCTTGCTATTGGAAAATAACCCATGTTTGTAACTAAACGATTGTGTAACCTACATACAGTGTTAATGCAAATGATATGTATGCATCTGTTAGATATTGTCACTTTATTTGATGTGAAAATATTTCAGTTTTTGAATTACAGATGGAATAATAACCACCTAGCATAAGCTCAGTTATTTCTTGTATATGCTTCAGGCTGCAGATCCACATAGTGCCAACACTTGAAGTGGGGAGAGGAAATATATTTTTACCCCAAGCTTTGGTCTTTGTGATGTTTGCTGTTGCCTTTGTGTGGCAGGGTGACAGGAGGGTCACCTGTCAACCTCTGCCTCCCCGGCAGGTTGTTCTGTGCCTCTGTAGGTTCGTGCTGGTGTTTGTCAGTCGCTTTTTGTGGTGGTCCTGAGCTTGCTCCCCACCCTAGCTGGTGTCCCGGGGAGCTCAGGCCAGATTTGATGTGTGTGACACCTGCCCAGTACATTCCCTCCCCCGTGACATATTAAAATGTTGTTCCTCTTTTGTTCCCCCCGCCCCACCATCCTCACTTTTTCATTTCAATTCTGAACCTCTGTTTCTTTTCTCTTCTGTTTTTCTCTTTTTCTGTAGCTTCTTCTTTATGTAAACGTCACCTTGCCAAAGCCCCCGCACCCTCTCTCCCAGTGGACCGTAGGGCACTGGAAGAGCTGCGGATCCGGGGCAGCCCTGCCAGGAGAAGAACCATCTCATTCCTCCATCACGTCTGCCCTCCTCTCCTCCCCCTTTGTTCCCACCCGTGCGTCTGAGGGTGTGCTGTGCTGTGTGTCTGTGCGGGATCTGCCCGCCCCGACAGCGTCCCGGCTGCAGCGCTGCCCAGGGAACGGCCGCCGGAGGGAGCTCGGCCGCGCTGGGACTCCTTGCTCTGGGTTAGTTGGATTTTTTTGCCTCCCTCCCCGATTTCTTTTGCCGTAACACGCGCACGCCGCTGGCGACACGCGGAATGACAGACTTGGGGGCGAGTGTGCAAAGCTGGAGGATTTAATTTCTGCCTCGAGCCTGGCTGCTTTGGACACCACAACTTCATCTCGAGGGCGTCCCGTGCTCCTCTGGAGTGGCTGGAAATCTCTCCGTAGACCTGGTGGTGTTCTCAGTGTGTCACTGTGTGACGGTGGATGTCCCATCCTGTGGCACTGATGGAGCCTGTGCTGGACTGTCAAGGCTTTATTTTCTGGCTGTGCCTTGCTATGGGCAGAGCAAGATTCTGGTTTTGTACAGCTGGCTCGCCCTTAGATGCAGGGCTTCCTTTTGTTTTCATGAAGCCTAACTAGTGATTATTTTTTTAACAGTCCTCAGTGTGGGCAAGTTGTTAAAATTTCTACCTTGTTGACTTTGGAAGTGAACTCAGTTGAAAAGTTTGGGAAGTGCCAAAGGATTGCTTGAAGGTAAAACCACAACCTGTAGATGTGTGTAGTGACCTCCAGCTGCTTTGGGATGGAGGGAAGGAGGCAGCCCGAGCCTCTTGGCATGTTGTTTTGTGTGGAGTGCTGCACTTGGATTTTGAACCGAATACTAGTGATTTATTCTTTGCATCTGTGAACATTAATCAAGGCCTTCCCTTCCTTTACCCTGCTGAGGTAAAGCTACCCTGAGCTGATCTAGGTTTGGCCTCTGGCACTCGGTGTGTGACATGCCAGCTGCTGAGGGGCTCTGCTGAAATCTGCTGGGGTTTTTTTTTCCACAAATACAGTGTTTTGCAGCATCTTCAGTGACAAGGGTCAGCTCCCTCCAGCCAGGTGAAAGAAAAACTGCATATCCTGGAAGCCTTTGCAACCAAAGAAGTGACTTTATGATACACTCAGGAAGGTTATTGAGCGTTGGCCTCACGTGTGCTGTGCCCTGGTATGTAGCTGGACTTGCTGGCTGTTGCCCAGCCTGAAGGGCTGTGAATATTTGCACAAGTGTAGCTTGGGACAGGACTTGCAGTGATACCAAAACCAGAGTCTGCCCCACTCTTGAAGCTGCAGGGGCCTCAGGTGGTACCCAGTGCTTCCCACCAGACAGCCAGGTCAGAAACATGTTCAGCTCAGCCTTGTGAGCACAAAGCAGGGTCGAGGCCATTGCTGGATTAAACCTTGGCTGTGTCTGTCCCTGTCTTGCTCTGCAGAACTCTGTGGGTGTTTGTCTTACCTGGGAACCACAACTTGCAGGATGGGATCCCTGCGTGCCCCGGGCCACCATCCCTACCAAAAAGCCATGGCTTGAGCTGCACATATTCATAAAAAAAATAGTGAGTTACCATGCAGCCTGAAATAGGGGTTCACCGTGCAGCCAAGGGCTGCTGGGGCTCAGAGCATGCTGGTGCTTGACCCCCCTTGTGCCTCATGCAGGCCAGTGTCCCCCTGGCCCAGGGTGCTCTGCACACCGAGCTGGTCACTGTTGACTGAGAACACTCCTTGCCTTTGCAATGCCCAGTTTAGGCTGTCTTTTCTTCCAGTGGTGGCACCTGTGCCAGTGGCTGCTGCTGGGGACCCAAGGGCCTTGGCTGTGGGCTCTGCAGCCATGGTAGCCTGCAGCTTGCCCAGGTAGCCTGCTGACTACTTGCCCAGCAGCCACCTCAGCTGCTGGATGGCCCAGTGGCTGCTGCTGGGGACCCAAGGGCCTTGGCTGTGGGCTCCTCAGCTGCTGGATGGTTCCTGCAGCCTTCTGTGAGACCCTCTGCCAGGGAGGGAATCCTCTCCTTATGTTCCCCTCTGTCCTCACACCTTTTTGTTGTTGCTTCTAAGCTCCAAATGGAATTATTTTTAAAGCCTAATATAAAGAGAAGCAGAGGGGCACAACCCCAGTGCTGACACTCACACAGACTGCCTTTGTTTTGCAGCTCTGTAGAGTTTTGCTGCGCTGGTGCCTTGAGTCCTGCTTGCAGCTCTGGAGCTCGTGTCTGCGGGAGGACGTAGCGGGGTTAGAGAAGGGCACTAATGGGAATTGGGATGGAGCAGCAGCGTGCCAGGTGAGGCGGCTCCTTTGGAGGGGAAAGGCAGAGGTGAGGGAGGCAGAGAGCAGGAGCTGGCAGCACATGACCTCTAGAGGTCCCCTGCAGCCCAAATTTATTTGTGGCTGTTCGAAAGCTCGATCGATGGGGGTGTGCGCCGAGTGTCGTTCACCAAATCCACACAACTGGACTTAGCTCGAAGGGAATGGGCTCAAAACATCGAGTAGCTTTCACACAGAGCAGGTACTAAACTTCTGGGGTTTGTTGACACTGGTTGTTGATAGGGACGCTGTCAGCAGAAGGTTTTGGGGTTGGTTTGGGGTTTTTTAAGGGTAACTTCAGGGAGAACAGGTCCAGAATGTAAAGAGACTCCGTTGGTGGTGGATGCAGGGTGGAGGGAAGGGAGCAGAAGGCACGGGAGCTGCCAGCGGTGTCTGATAATTATCTGTCACCAAGTGTCCCCAGCAGAGCTGGGAAAGCCACTTCATCCACTCCCAGCTGAAAAGTTGTGCTTTGGGGTTAACCCTTGTGTGGCTGCTGCAGGGGATCCACGCTCTGGTGTCTGGAGGGCAAATCCTTCAGGGGCTCAGGGAAGCCAGGTGCTGGGGGGAGCAGCGCAGCGTGTGAGGATGGGCTGGGATTGCAGCTAAAGGCTTGGGGACAAGCAGCAGTGCTCCTTCAGAAAGTGGCTGCTGTGCCCGGAGAGCTACCCAGGCTTGGGGCACTGAGCAAATGCTTGGGTTTGGGAATGCAGTGGTTTTCTCCCAGTGCTCCTGTGGGAGATGTTGGGCTCCTGGCCTGCACTGCTTTGGGCCCCTCTGGAGCTGTTGGCATCTCGGGCTGCTCCATGACGTGAAGCACTGGGGTGCTGTGAGGCCTGTGGGAAGGTTGCATGAATGTGAGGAGTCAAGGGCATCAGGGAATGTTTTCCTGTGGGAAAAAAGGAGCTCTGGCAGTGCTCCAGTCCGGCCCTGTGCTCCAGCAGTGGGAGCAGCATAGGAGCCAGCCTGCTGCTGAAGGTGATGGGGGCTGTGCAGGCTGGGGCTGGAGGGGGCAGCTCCAGGGAAGAGCAAAAACAATGGGATGCTGTTGGGTGCCACAGCCAGAGAGGTGCCAGGCATGCAGGGCCTTGCCAGGACAGCAGGACACTGCAGAGGTGGCTCACGCGGAGCAGGGACAGGGTTTGTGCACGGCACCAAGGAAATAAAACGTGTCTGTCTCTCTCTGCAGCCAGGGTCCTGCCCCTGCAGGTGTTCGCTTCCCTGGGCTCGCCAGCTCGGTGCTGTGGCTTGGCCGGCTCCAGGCTGCACAAGGAGGCCAGGAAGGGTTCGGGGCAGTTTTGGGAGAGCCACAGTGATGCTGTTAGTGGGGTGTGGTTTGGAAGGCAGAGCTCTCCCCTCGCGGCTGGTACGAGCCAGGGCAGTGTGGGGCTGCTGTCCTGTGAGTTTGCGGAGCGGGTGACAGTGACAAGGACACAGTTACCTTCCCAGAGTGATACACAGCCACGGCTGCAGCACACCTGGACAGCAAACTGCCCCAGAGGCACCCAAATATCTCCTGAGGCCCAGCTCCCCTCCTTGCTGTTCCAGCCAGGCTCCCTGCTCCCATTCTTGTGCCAACTCCTCTCCACGTGTGCATCTGAATGCCTGTGTTCTGGTGCTGAGTGGGGAATGCAGGAATATGCCCTTAAACCTGGGGTGGGGAAGGGAAAAGCTAATGTAATTGAACTGGGAAAGATGTGTAACTTGCCATGGGCTGGAAGCAGGGAGCCCCAGAACTGGGGATGTCCTGCAGTGACAGGGTGCTTTGCTTGGTGGTGTGCTTGTGATACCCTGAGCCTGCTCAGCAGCCTGGCTTTGGAAAACAGAGCTGTGGGATGAGAAGGTCAGGGACTGAAAAGACTGTAAGGACGGCAGGAAGGGCTGGAAGGGAAGGAAGACACACACCCTGCTGAGAAATGTGGGCTTGAGGGGAATTTTTGGAGCCGTGGCAGGAAGAAGCCAGAACCCAAGAGAAGGCTGTCAGGGTGCACTGCTGCAGTAAGATGGCACCTTGGAAGGCAGGGAGCAGGAGGGGCTCCAGGACAGGGGACATGGAGCAGTGTCCCTGCCAGGCACTTAGCCTGGAGAGAGGAGCACCAGAACCAGGGCCAAAGCTGGAAGTGCTGGAGAGGCAGTGAGTTCATGCTGGGTGACTCCCCTGGCTGCCCAGCACCTCTCATGTCACCTTTCCAGGGGTCTGGCACGGAGCAGCTCCCTGGCAGCTGCCGGGTAAAGCCGAGCCAGGTCTTGGGAGAAAAGCACAACAGCAGACTGGGAATCCAGGACAACTTTCTTTATTGCTACCAGAAGGCTTTCATCAGTACAATGGCTCTGGATACAATACCTTCCTCAGGGCTGTGGAGAGAGCTTACAGTCGGGACAGGGTGTTCTGAGAACAGGGTGTCACACGGAGGAGACGCGATCAAGGTCAGACTCTTGGTTAGAAGTTACATGAACACAAAACTCGAGGGTCGGGGTGTTTTGTTTTGGTTCTGTGCCCGATGATGACACGTGTTCCAAACCTCAGGTGTCTGCAGCTGCCCCCAGCACCTCACCCAGCAGTGCTGGGAAATGTGCAGGGAGAACAGGGCTCTGCACAATTCAAGGGTTACATCTGATGGAGAGAATCCACACTGAGTGCTACACAGCAAGAAAAAATGGTTTCAGTTCTAGTGATGCAAAACCCAGTAACTGCTTTCTGTGTTGGGACAGGCAAACTGGTCTAACTGGGAGAAGTCTCTGTGCCAGGCACAGAGCACCTTCACACTCCTGTGGCAATTACTGAAGTGTGGAGCAGCTTGCAAGCATTGGTTTAGGTTTTTTTCCTGCCTGATGTTTTGTTTAAATCCAGTTTTTCAATATTATCACATTTAAACACCCAACTATTAACAAAAGAGGTTTTCTGTTTAGAAGGGCAAAAGAAAGCTGTGGTGGAGGTGGGGCAGGACAGAATGTCATGCACGAGACTGGCCGAGAACTAAAAGAGGAGCAGGCAGAAAGGGAGCAAGGAGCAGGTGGCAATGGGATCAGAGAGGCATTAGTTGGCTGGCAAACCTGGAAACAGCTCGGCAGGGCTGGTGTGTGAGCTCTCGGATGTGGAGAATGGGTTACAACACACAGGAGCAGAAAAACAGTGGAACCGACAACACTAGAAAGGAACAGGTTTTTGCTACTTTTTTTGTTTGGTTTTTGGGTCTTTTTTTAGATTTTTATACTTTTTTGTCTTTTTAAGTGCTTAAATAGTGGAACTATAATTAGCCGCACGAGAAATAAAATTCAAAAAAGGGTCGGGATTTTTTTTTTTTTTTTCCTGGTTTTCTTTTGGCTCCCTTCAGTTCAGCCTGACAAGGTACGGCCCCTTCTCGCCCCGCTGAGGCCACGGGCAGCTACATGACAGACACCGGCTGCAGAGGCGGGCAGGGGGACACGCTGCCCTCCTGCCGCGAGACGTCGGCGCCGCAAACGGAGCCCACGTTCTCCAGGGCCACTGCCTCCGGGGCCAGGTCTTCGTTGTACAGGCGCTTGATGCCGTCGTAGAAGTCGTCCACTTCCATCTCTTCCACCTTGCGCTTGGCGGAGCCTGCCTTGCAGCCGCCGGCGGGGGCGGGCAGGCGCGGGCAGAGCGCGGCTGTAGCTGTGACGGGCGCTTCTGGCCGGCCGTTGTCCTGGGAGAAACCCGGCCCTGGGACAGAGGAGGGCTGGCGGTGGAACGCTCCTCTGTTACAGGTCACCAGGGTCTGCTGGAGGGGACTGTAGACATATACAGAGTTGGGCAGCAGAGAAGGCTGCAGAGTGGAAAGGTGATGTGCCGCCAGCTCCCGGCAGTGGATCAGCTGCGAGCTGTCCATCTGGAGTGGGAAGACAAGCAGAGGTACGCCTGCTGTGGGATCACTGGCAGGGTGAGGAGAGGGCACGGGCTCCCAAAGCCTCGGCCACCTCTGAGCCTCACTTGCCAACTACCATGGTGATGTCCTAAGATACACTTCCTGCTCCTTCCTGCACCTTGTGGGACTCGGGGGAAGCAGGCACAACTTAAACATATTAAAGGATTTCACTGCCTGTTTTTAGCAGCTGGAGCGTGCTGCCAGAGTACCTGCAAGGTTCCCTGTATGCTGCCAATGAATGGAAGAACCACTAACTAGTGGAGTTTCTCCCTGGTGCAGCGAGGGCCCGTGTAGATCAGGGCACACGGCTCCTCCCGCTGTAACACAATGGTCAGGACTGAGACCTGGCAGCGCTGTCCCTACAGCTGTCCCTCCAGGCTGAGGCTGAGGCCCAGCCATCCCCACACGAATGGAACAACAGGCAGCAAGGAACCACAAAGCCCCAGCTGCCCCGGAGCCCCGAGCAGGATGTGGCCCCGGTCCCTTCCCGCTCCTCACCTGTGCCTTCTGGAGCAGCTCGATGATGAGAGCCAGCCAGTCGGGGAGCAGCTTCTCCAGCTCCAGGCTGACGATGGCCAGCGCCAGCATGGAGCCCTTGAACTGCAGCAGCTGGAAGCAGGCCATGCAGTGCAGCAGCTGCTTGGTCAGCGCCGCCACGTGCTGCGAGGGGCTCGGCGTGGGCAGCAGGGCCAGGAGCTGCGGCCTGCTGG